GACAGAGATGGCATTCTGCCACAAAGGGTACAGATATTGATTTCTCATTGTCTTGAGTCCTGTTGGAAGAAACTAGAGCTGGGAATAGGTAAAGTGACTATTTCAGTAATCCTGGTTGTCATGGAGAGGGAAGCAGGGTGAATAAATCTCATCAATCTGTTCAAGTCATATTTGACGTCTATACATCTCACACTTTTAACTTGAAAAAAATATTTATTCCAGTGTCCTTTCAACATTTATTTCTTTAAATATATTAGAAGTAATTAATCTCTCTTTGCAAAAACTGCAAGTATTTTATAGATCTGCTAAATATGGCTTCCACTGCAAATGGTAAGAGGCCCTGACAAATCTCTTATTAGTGACTTGTGCTCTACTGTATTTGGTGACAAATAGGAAAAGCATTTGAACATAAGCTGGGTTTTTTGTTTTGTGGTAGTTGCTTAGTAGGATTGTAGAGCACGTTTTGGGTGGGTTTTTCAAAAGTGCATAAGTGAGTTTGGTGCACATGTTCCATGGGAAATCTTGTAGTTTTCCTAACTCATGCACATGCTTTTTAAAATGACAATGGGACTTGTACTTGAACTCATTTATCTTTTTACAGGAAATCTGTTCAGTCTATTTAAGAGAACAAATAATTGCCCCTCCTTTGGAGGACGAGAGAGCAAGAATACCTCAATCAAAGGACTGTGTTTAGGTCTATGTCTAAAATTAATGCTAGAATTCTTGTATCCTCTGTTCTAGCTCTTTGTAACTGTTAATGCTATTTATCTGATTTTATTTATATATTAGCTTTCCCTTTATACGTTAACTGGCTTATAAAATATCAGGAACATTTTAAAACTTAAGTAAGTGAAATACAATGTTGTCACCTATATAAAAAGCAAAAGTTCCAGATCTTTTCAGGTCACTTGTGCCATTAACCTGTTCCACTGCAGTTACTTTATACTTGGATAGCTACACTAATGTATGATGTCCAAGAAGTATTTGGGATGAAGTCACCTAACGATTGAATAGCGGATATGGTCAGGCATAAATTTGAAAGACAGTTTACTGATAAAGAGCTCTCTTCAAGAAAGGTCACATTAAGGCTCCTAGCAAACATAATTTTCTTAGGTATTGGGCCAAATTTTCAGCTAGTATAAATTGAAGGCAGCAAAGCTATGGTGATTTACATTGGCTGAGGATTTACATTGTCTCCTATTTCCAAAGATATGTATATTTTTCTGTTAGCTAATAATTTTGAGACTCCCTCATAATGAGGACTGAACATCTTGCTGTGATTCAAAATGATGTTCTCTCTAGACAGCAAGTCCTTGCACTATATGGGTGAGAATGAGGCTGCAATTATTCAAGTCTCTGTATTAAGTGTTACATTTCTGCAAGCACTAAGGTGGTAACGCCTAAATTAAACTTTATAAAGATGTCCTTGATCAAACTGCTGAGTGGTAGTAAGCAATAAGGATTGGACAGAATTAATAGACTGTTTTTACAATGTGACAGAAAGCCACCTATTCAATGGTACAAAAATCCATAGCAGTTAGGAAATGGAGGCTCTATAGCACTGGTCTCCAACCTTTTTATGTACAGGATCCCTTTTTGAATGAAAGTGCAACCCAGGTCACATGCTGGCATCCCACCTTCTCCTCACCCAGCAGGTCAGTCTGTGGGGGAGGGAAAGCGTAGGGAGGGTACAGATTGAGACCCCTATGGTGAGGGAGTGGAGCAGAGGTAGGGATTGGGGTGAGTGGGGTCTCGGCTGGGCTGGGTGGTGGGAGGATCGGAGCCCAGGCAGCTCATCCAGGCATGGGGGGGGCTCCCACCACTGCACACACCCCTGCAGAGGTCCAGGGGCCATGTGCCCCCTGATTTGTGCTCAGGACAGAGGCAGCTGCCTCTGTGCTCTGGGTTTTGTACCCCAAGTCCAGCTGCAGCTGTTCTGGGGGTGGCCATGTGCGTCCCACCACTGGGCAGGCAGGGGGCATGGCTCAGTACAGTGGCAGGATGCATGTGGTGTTGCAACGCTCCAGGAGCAGGTGCAGTGGGGGTCAGGGTGCAAAGCCCAGTGTGCAGCAGCAGCTGCCTCCACCCTGTGCACAGATTGTGGGGGCGTGTTCCCCCTGGGCCTCCACCCCGCTGCATGCCTGGATGAGCCACCTGGGTTCCGATCCTCCCACCATCTGGGCCGGGGCCAGACTCACCCAGTGGCAGTGGGGTGTAAACGGGGATCTCATCCCACTCACTGGGAATGGCCCCAGCAGCAGGGGGTATGGCTTAGCCCAGCAGCGGGACACACGTGGCATTGTTCTGCTCCTGGAGCAGCTGCAGCTCTGTATCTCAGTTGGGGGGAGGAAGGGGCAGGGCTGAGTGTGTGCACCCTCAAGACTGAGATCTACTGTTAGAGGCTCTGCGATTGACCAGGTGATCACTGGTTGGTGACTACTGCTCTATAGGGTTTATGAATGACATAGACCAGGGCTGCTCAACCCCTACCCCACAGGCCAGATCTGACCTGTGGAACCATGTCATCCAGCCTGCAGAGCTCCCCACAAGTCCAGAAACTTAGTGGTGGGTGAACAGCAGTAATTAACACTGCTACCACTCCCCTGCCAAGTTTCCAAGCCCCATGAGGCTTGACTGGGACCAGGTTCTGCTGACCCTGCATGGCTGGATTGAGCCCATGGACCGGATCTGGCCCATGGACCAATCTGGCCCCTCTCATCCAGCCTGTGGGGTAAAAAGGTTAGGCATAACTGACAGACTGTTCAGACGTGACCTCCTTTGAACCACAATGGTGCTACTTCATTCTGACAGAAAAATAGAATAATTTCAATATACAATTTCTTTTTGGTCAAAGAGATTTGAGCCCACACCCTTGTGTGGGTGCCACTTATAAAAGTAAGGACTCTCAATGTCCATGGAGTCTAGATAAAGTGAGTATGTGTGTGTGTGTGGGGGGGTGTTTTTTGCTTTGTTTTATTGTTTTAAGGCAAAAGGCCCTCTCCTTTCAATGACATTGCTTCATTAGTCTTAGTGACAATACAAAACTGAAATGAGACATGAGCTCTTCTCTGAGAATCTTCCCTTGGTCTAAGTGGGTCGCTATGTTGTTTCCTCTTTTGCCCTTTTTGGCACAGTGTCTCCATATACCAGTAGTGTAACTGAGGGGTGCGGGGCAAGTGCTTCTGTTTGCTCTTGCCTTCCACTGCTCTTGCTCTTTCTGTGTGGACACACAACTAGTCAACATCAGTTAATACTTTGGTATTTTACACTGATGTAAGTATTTTACTCAGATGACCCACTCCCTCAACATAGTGATTAGGGCAGGCAGCTCTTAGTGTCCTCACTAGAAGAGATCTTGTAATAGCCTGTTTTCACTGAGCAAATGACCACCCCAGGATGAAATTGGCTAGAGCACAGGTTCTCAAACTGGGGTCCGCGATCTGCATTCAGGTGGTCTGCAGAAAGGTTGTGGAACAATTGGGAATTCTGTACTTGTAAGATAAGACTACTGATATTAAAATATGAGTTGTGTGCTTTGATTTGTAGAAGAAAAAAAGGTTTAATAAATGGTCCGCTGACACCCTCAGCAATTTTCAAGTGGTCTGCAAAAAAAGAGGTTGAGAACCACAGGGCTAAAGCTATTGGGTCATGACCTACTCAATGGTATAACTTACACTGGAGGTTTATTATTCCTCCAGTCTCTAAGGTAACTTTACTCTGAGTAGAGTCACTTAAGCTGGCAAAGGGCTGTATTCTGTGTACCTGCTCCACATTTACATTGGTGTCAAGGCAGGTTATATAGGCATAAGTGTATCATGTATTTCCAGCTTCTCTTGATTTCCATAACTCCCACCCCCTTGCCATGTTCTCTGGCCTTCTATCATCCCAAGTTGAAACAGGTGAATAATATCCTATGGTGTTACACCAGAATAGGTGATTGCAATGCTTTAACAGACAAAAGTGTTCCTTATTTGGCCAATACATGATACAGCACTCACAGTCTGTGGTAGATTTTGCATACACTGAAGCCTCCTACGATAAATTAATTTCTTAGTATAAATCAATATCCCTCAAATCATCACAAGTAATTGATTTCCAAATAGAGATTATTGATATAAGACATGTTAGCCGGAAAGTACATCTGGTTTTCAGGTTGAGTTTGCAAGGCTTGCATAACTATCTTTTTACCTGTCAGCTGAGCAGACTTGAACTAGATCTAGAAGCCACCGAGAGATTACAAACCAGGAACCCTGCAATGACATTCTTTCAAAGTCACTTTTTTAAAAAGCAGATCAGTTTAAGACCTTTTATAGCATCAGATTCTACTTTCATGTCATTCTCTGTTAAACCCCCACCCCCAAATTCACTAATTAAGAACAACAAATCCATGTTTTTCTGCCATTAAAATGAAACACCACCCTACATATAGGTATCAATTTAACACA